CTATACAGCAACACTTATTCATGCCATGAATCCATTTGGCTACTAAGCCCCTTGTTTCAAGCTTGTGCAGCCATGAGTGTTTTTGAAATTAATATGTAAATAATGATCTGCTGAATAGATAACATGTGTGGAATTGCTGCTGCTGGTACTATATTCCCCATTTAGGTATAGCTCTGTGCTTTAGGGTTGTTTTATTATTAATGTCACTGCTCAATTTCTGCTGTGTTGGGTTCGATGAACTGGAGGGGCCTATGCTTAAACTATAGTAACATAAATAAATGTACAACATGTGAGATAATGGACTAAATGGATAAGTTAAGCCTTTTTCTCATGCTTTCTTCTCCTTTATGTCAATCTCATGTGTTGGTATAGCACTTTTTAAAGGGCAGTGTTTGCTGTTGAAGGGCCAATGTCATGCTTTGCCGGTTATTAACCGTCCCCTTGTGTGTTATGAAGATTTGTATGCATGTAAACGGTCTGCAGAGTCAAAAACCCTCAAAGTACACCCTGCAGCGAGTAAAACTCTAACACAGTCTATGCTGCCCAAAAACGCCTCTTTGGAGATTTCTAATTTTCCATTGTTTACTTCCTGGGTACTGTAATGGGTTTCATTTATAAAGCACTTCATATTTGACTTCAAATCCCGAAGTGCTACAAGCAGTGAGCAGTATAAAAACATTACACAATACGGTCAAATTAATAAAAAGTAGGGATGCACCGAATATTCGGCAACCGAATATTATCGGCCGAAAATGGTTAAAAAGGCCCTTTCGGCTTTTAGCACCGAAACGAAAAATGTCAGAGAACAGGGTTACGTTGATCATACTCCGCATATTTGTCCGGGTGTTTTGATTTCAAGTGGTGGAGTAATCCCGAAGTGGTGAAAGTCTTTGCAGTTACACCTCCTCGAGAAATGTCAACTGAACACGTTTTACAAATCGCAATCCGCGCCTCTCTCTCTGATATTTTTAAATATCTCCAAGCGGCAGACATGTTGGCTGTGAGCCAGCCGCGAGCATGGTCGCGCGCTGTGCTTGTCGCCGCGTTTTGATTACGTCATCACAACAACACGTTAGGTTACCAAACTTATAGGTGCATTTGTTGTTGTTGAAGGCCTGGCTGTTACAGTCTTTATTTACAATATTTTGTTGTAGGCCTACTGGCCTAGATGTTTATTTTAAAGCACCTTGGCTTTGTTCTGAATGCACTTTGTTGTAGTTATCCTACAGAGAAAAGAAAATGCACTTGACTTGGAATTAATGTACTGTATGCATTCAAAAGTGCTGAATAAATGTTTTATGGACCCATAATAGTGATTACTATTTAAGTTAAGTTTTGCCATAATCATGTCTTTTTCCATAATCAGGTAGCTGAACAACATTGGTAAAAAATGTATACATTATATATATATATTTCTATTAATCATTTTCGGCCATTCGGTTTTTGGCCAACTGTTTCCTATTTTTGGTATCGGTTTCGGCCAAGAATTTCCCATTCGGTGCACCCCAATATATAAGGGCTGTCAAGTTAACGCGTTAATGCAAAAAAAAAAAAAAAAAAATTAACGCCACATTATTAAGCGATTAACGGTGCATGTATTTTCCGTCGGCGGCCGTAGTTCAGAGGCATCGAGTTAAAATACATCTACAACGTATGCCTAACAGCCCCGCTCCTGCCGATCCGCTGTGGGCAGACACACTCACGCCACCGGAAGGCACCGGACTGACACACACATACAGACAGACAGACAGACAGACAGACATACATACAGTGGGGCAAAAAACATTTGTCAGCGCACCAATTGTGCAAGTTCTCCCACCTTAAAAGATGAGAGCCTGTAATTTTCATCCTAGAGTACCTCAACTAGAGGCAAAATGAGAAAAAAAAAATCCAGAAAAAAACAAGTCTGATTTAAAGAATTTATTTGCAAATTATGTGGAAAATAAGTATTTGGTCAGCCTACAATACAAACAAGATTTCTGGCTCTCACAGACCCTGTAACTTCGTCTTTAAGTGCTCCTGCTGGTCCTCCACTGTTAACCGTATTAATGCACCTGTTTGACCATTATCAGTATGAGCAAAGACCACCTGTCGACAACCTCAAACAGCCACACTGCAAATTGAAATTTAAAAGATTCTCTTAGATTGCGGACATAGTTTCAAATGGCTTTTATTACCCCGCCCCCCATAGGAAGTTGGCAATTCAAGCAATGTGGCGTCTTTTCATGGGCATTTTAAGTACATTTTCCGAACACTTTCCCTAGGAGGAGTTTGCAAAAATGGTACTAAATGCATGAAAAACGCCTTGTTGATAGGGCCAACTTCCTGGGGGCGGGGCAAAATAAAACACACTTTGAAAATGATCCCAATCAGAGAAATTTAATTCCAAGATTGCAATGTGGCTGTGAGGCTTGTCGACAGGTGGTCTTTTATACTGAAATAGTTCAAACCGAGGTGCCATTAATACATTAACAAAGTGGAAGGACAGAGGAGGCTAAAAGAGAAAGTTACAGGTCCGTAGAGCCAGAAAATCTTAGTTTGTTTGTAGGTGACCA